CTCTCTCTCTCTCTCTCTCTCTCTCTCTCTCTCTCTCTCTCTCTCTCTCACGTGTGGTCATGTTTGAGTGTATTTATAGCTTCATTTTTCACATTAAGATCTTTGATATTGTTGGGGTTTATTTTGATGTATAATAGGACAAAAGGATCTAACTTCAAGAACAAAAGACTTTAAAGAAACATAAAGTTTAATTTCTAAATCACAAAGTCAGAGTACTATGTACTTGGACCATTTATAACTTGCTCTCTATCTTTCTTTAGGAATATTCTTCCAGAACAAATCTGTAATGATGAAGAGGATGATGACTCATCTTTGGAACATCTTCATCTTGAAAATAATTACATTAGAACAAGAGAAATATCACCCTATGCATTTTCATGCATAAGGTCATACTCAAGTATTGTTCTTAAACCACAAAACATCAAATAACCCTCAAGTTTTCTTCTGCATTTAGGTTTACTTATGTAGTTGTAGTAGAATTTGTCATTAATGGGAAACATAACCTTCATGTTATACTCAGCATCATTATGCTAGTCCATTTGGCTTGCCAGCCCACAAATGAGTAAGCAAAGGTATATATAAAAAGTAGTCTTCTAGGAGTTTCAGTTAAAGTCAGAAACAGTGTCCCACATCTAGAAAGAAACTATTTAAGACAGGAAATCAGACCAAATAAACAGGTCCTTGACAATTCATTTGACATGTGCTATTAACTAAGAGTTCTTCAAGTACCACTAAAAATTATGTATATTATAGTTCAAGACCAAAAGTATATAGGCAGGAAAATAAATCAGGTAAAATTTATGAATTACTGCTGTTTATTATTATGTTAAAACAGTCATTTATTAGTTACTTCAGTATTGGGTTAGGCTTAGTTCCTTCTATTCACTACATGTGTGAAATTAAAGCACTATCACAGTGCTAACTGGTTTAGATCTTAGTACTATAAGTTAACATGTTAACTTCCCTGTTAACATAAAGGGAAGCTAGCAAGAAGTATGGAAATGAATTCCACACCATTTTTGAAACTTCTGTCTAAGTGTAAAATTATTTTTTAAAACATAAAAAATAGTACTTTAAGATCAATCTATTTTTCATTTATTGTGGAAAGCAGAATTGGCTAAAAACACAAATTATTCTTACCTATAATAGCTAAATATAAATGTAATATATATACTTTTTCAAATTTTCTTACATTGGTCATAGCACCTATTTCCTTTGCCCTAATTTGCTGAAATGTATCCTTTTAGTCAGTTTAACCAAATGTAAAATTGTTAGTGTTTACTCTGTACTAGGCCCTACCAAAACTGTATATTAAAGTTTTAATTATATAGTGACCTTTGTCTCTGTATTGCCACAAAAATTTAAGACCATATAAACACTACATTAACTTCTTTTGTTATTCTCAGTTTTGAAGAAACACTAGACTCAGAACTTAAGTTCTTGCCTACTTTGGGCAGCTTCCTCAAATTTTTCAGGTACTAGCATCTGTTAAAACTTTCTAATTTTTTTTCTAATTCATTCATTCATTCATTCATTCATTCATTCATTCATTCATTTATTTGGTACAGGGTTTCACTATGCAGCTCAGACTTGTAGTGATCCTCTTGTTTTCAGCACCCCCAGCACTGGGATTACAGTTGTGCACCACCATTCCTGGTCTCAGTGGCCGGCTCAGCCTGCTGGCTGCAAGGCATGTGGTGCCGGAGATCAAACCCCAGTCCCTGCACTTGCCTAAGCAGGCTCATTGTGTGCTAATCTATCTCACCGGCCTTTTTAAAGGATTTTTGAGACAATGTCTTACTATGGAGTTCAAGATAGCCTTGAGCTCATATAGCCTTGAACTCTTAGTGATCCTTTTACCTCTGGACCCAAGCACAGAGACCACACGCATGTTGCCATTAAGCTCAGATAGCATTTTTTCTTAATATCCAGGATTCTGAGATTTGAACAAGAATAACATATGAAGATGACTGTTAAATTCATGGGTCAAATACTTAGACAAGTGGTAAGAGTAGAATAGAATAAAAATAATAGAATCTTATGCCAACAAAAAGTTTAGATTCACACTTAGTTTAGGAATGAATTAGCATCACTAATTTAAATTGGCAAGCTAAATTTGAGGCAGGTAAAAACAAGAAGATAAGGTTACACACTCATCTAGCAAGAATTTTTGCGCAGACCTTTTGTTGTATAGATATAAATGCATTGACATAAATGCTTTAAGGTCATCTATGCCATAAATAAAATTTGCTCCAAAGGGGACTCAAATTGAATGAGTCAATGTAATTAACATTTTTGGATGACATAAGAGACCGATTACTGAACCATTCCTTGATTCCTTATTCAGACTCAACTGTACTTATTTTACTTTATTCACCTGCGTGGCAGATGCCATTTTAAAGACAGAGTAATAAATAGGTCAAAGTCTCCTCTCTGGAAAATCAATAAACAGGAACATCAAGTAGTAGGCAAATGCTTTGTGTCAGTCGAAGAGGAAAACAATGGGCTAAGGCCCCCTCTGCCTGGGCCCAAGGGCACCCAGGGAAAATGTAGGAACCTCAAAGAGCTTGCAAAGACAGTAAGCAAGGCTGTGGGTGGGTGTGGCCTGGGAGATGGCTCAGTAGAATAAGCACTTGCCTGGCAAGCACAAGGGCCTGAGTTCAATCCCTGGTTCTGCAAAAAAAAAAAGAATGGTGTGTGTACAGCACACACTCTGGACTGCTGTGCACACCTTTTCCTAATACTATGAAGAGAACCAAAACTCAGAATGACCAAGTAAAACTTTGCTCTTAAATTGGAAGTCACTTATTTCATCTCTCTTTTTTATTTTTACTTTCTTTTTCAGAACTGGGGATTGAACTCAGGCCCTTGTACTTGCCTGGCAAGTGCTTATTCCACTGAGCCATTTCCCTGGCCCCTCCTTTGATAGTTTTGAAAACATGTTCAGCATGAAACTTGTTCAGCCTTGAAATTTCACCATGTTCTAAATGGTATATTTTAATTCCATAAAATAGTGATAAATGTCATTATAGCAAACATTCTTCATTTTATATATATATATATCTATAGATATCTATCTATCTATCTATCTATCTATCTATCTATCTATCTATCTATCTATAACAAACATGTTCAGGGTGACCTCATAAATATTCTCCAATTACTAACATATATGTGTAGTAAGGAATTCCTAGCCTACACATACTCTAAAAATTTTAATGGAATGTCTTACTTTTGCATGCATGTACATGGACTGCTAACTGTGTTATAAATTTTGAGAATGGTTTTATTACACATATGAATATATTTAAAGCACTGAGACATGACATAATGAGATATACAGCTAGCCTAATGTCATAAGGAAGTTATTACACCATAAACCAGAAGATCTGGAAGCCTATGTTCACCAATGACTGGTCAATTATGCAGTCCTTTTACTCTTCTGGGACTTGTTTGATTCAGTTCTAAAATATGTTTATCAACATGATCAGTAGTTTTCACATATGGTTCATTGAGGGTTGGGTATCACTGATGAGGGAGCAAGTACACTTTTCTGTTCAAATCAAATTGCTTTTCTGTTATCAGAAATGGCTGCCACATCTGCTTTTTCAGTGATGGAAAATCTTTTAGAGTGTCCAAACTACAACCCAAAATTCACTTATTCATCACCAAGTGCCAACACTGAAATTAAACCCGAATACTAAGGTTTTAGTTTAGAAAAAAAATCTTATACATTAATAGCTTGTCTTAAAAGAAAAGCAGCATGCATGCCATAGGACTGCTACTAGGTGCTATCTAATAACACACACCAGGTTGCAATCCATGAACATGTGGCCTTCATCCTTCCCTTTCCCCCAGCTCCACCTGCATTCCTAAAGAGAACTTTGGCAGTAGGCTTTCAGAGCTCCAGCACAGTTGAGAAGATTAATCCTTCATATATTACTGGCCTTCCAGACTCCACTGCTCCTGCTGAAGGGAGTGCCACAGTGATGCAGAGCTCCCAGACCTCCCTGCAGAACAGACACGAGGGTACCAGTGTGCACAGACAGCACATGAGTGGTAGAATGTGTGGCTGAGTATGAACTTAACCTGATCTACTGACTCTCAGTCTGCACTTCCATCTGGATTGATCTGAGGGTTCGCATAAAAAGTCTGAGGAACTGAGCACCACCCAATAAAGTCCCTGAATTGTGGCAGATGATGCTCAACTGGAAAACACAAGACATAGAATGTGGCAGGTATTGCCAACAGAAGTGGAAGACACTAGAAATTTATGGTGGTACATACATAATCTTAGAAGCCTTCCTCATTAATCTAGACTTAATTACTACTTAAGATGACTACTTTCATTAAAGTAAGGGAAACCTTACCCATAATGTTATACAGCTGAAACCTGCATATGCACAATATTCTCTAGTTGGTACAGGCACCACTAGATATCATCAGAAGAAATCAATGAGAAATATCATTGCCATCAGGTATGTCAATGCGAAAATTATTCTCATTGACACATAATGATTCTTGTAACTTTTGTTTTTGGGGGGTGCTGGAGATTAAACCCAGGGCTGCATGCATGCTTAACAGCAAGTGCTCTCTAGCCTAGTTATATTCCCAGTCTTATTCCAGTATCTTTTTAATAAACCATTTTGTAAACCTTTGAATTTATAGTATGTCCCCTATTTATGAACATTCCAGTTTTGAACTTTCACAGATATAAACAGCTCTTGAGTTATGAACATTCACAGATGTGAATAAATCATGGAAGTAGCTTACGTGTCTGTGATAATGTACAGTTGGGGACTTACTCTATTTTTGCATGTGTGCTTGTTTTTTTGTGTGCCTTACATTATACATTTGTGTCAAAGGTGTTTAAGACTCACTTTGTCTGACTTACCAAAAAATCTGACTTACAATATTCTCCTGGCATGGAACTCATTTGCAGTAAGGGTCTTACTGTACTTAGAAATAAACATTAATAACTTATGATAATACCTGTTTTATTAAGATTTGGTAAGTATATTGTTATGGTTTGTGTATAGTTGTCCCCCCAAAGCCTCACAGTCTTGGGGCAGCTTCTGGAGTTTGTGATTGATTACTGTGGGTGTGGATGCTGCACTTGCCCTGGGGCAGGTAATCTGCATTACAATGTAAGGTGGGAAGAGAAGCCAGCTGCTTGAGCTGCTGCTAGTCCTTTTAAGCTCTCACTTGTTCTTTGCTGCTGCCCTGAAAGGTTGCTTTTTGCTATGTGCTATTCTGCCTTGGACACAGCTGAATATAGACTGAAACCTCCAGTAACTGTGAGCTAAATAAACCTTTCCTTCCTTCATTTTGGGTATCGGGTATTTATCCCAGAAATGAGAGAAGAGTAACTAAGACGTAAGAAATTTGCCAAAACATAAAATTCTTATTTTTTTACTGGTAGTACAGTCTTAAGCATAGCACTGTAGCAAAAATGGTTTCTCTAAATTGACAAATTTAGATGTGAAGTCATACAGGATGCACATGATATAGTAAGAGATATAATTAGCATAAAGCAAGACAACACACAGCTCAGATAAAGAACTATGTGAGCTGGGCCTACAGCTGGCTATGAATCAGCTGAGGGGAGGGAATGTGAGAGGATGAGGCAAGTATGTTGGAGGTGTGGGCTCACCGGTTATCTCAAATCTAGCCTGGCTACAGCAGGAATCAGAGGCAAGAGTGAGCTACTAAAAAGAGACCAGGTTGAATGTTCACACACTCTGGAAGGGGAAGTGTCATATGAAAGCTATAGTATAAGGAAGGAAAAGAACCACTCACAGCCAAAATTCAGAAAAAGACTGAGTGGGGAACAGACAGCACAGATGTGAGGGAGATTACCAAAGGAACTCAGTGAGTGACTTTCTCTGGAGATGAGAGGCACACAGAAGAAGAGTGAGCAGAGAGGGTAACTGCACCAGGTCCCACAATGTTGTAAAGGTGGGGGGGGGGTAGGCCAACTGAAAGAGGACATGCTGATCCTTGGGTGTCATGGGTTCAGGCCAAGACAGGAAAACTGTAATGTCAGGGAGGCACAGGCAAAGATGTCTGCCCAGAAAGGCCCAGGAACAGAAGGACTGCTGACCCTAATTTCAAAGGAGGAGCAAAACAGCCAAATTCACTGGTTTCTATGACTTGCGTCTCTGACCTGCCAGAGACAGCTTATAGGCACAGGAAGAGCCCTACCTAAAGTTCAGCTCCTCAGAAAGCCTCTGCAAGTCACAGTATCTGTGCTACCATCCTGGGCAAAATCTATGCTAGGTCTGTATTGATTAGCTGGTGTTACTAGGTAGCTATTAATGATTTGTTTGTGTAT